CTTCCGTGCACTCGAAAGGATGATGCCTGACGTACACTTTCTGCCTTGGAAGCTCAGCCGCAACAAAACCTGCCGCTGCTTAGATTCTCTGCATTTCGCCCTTTGGTCATGCCAAGAGTCGTGATGACCTTGGCGGGCGGACCGGGAACCGGCACAGGCACCACGTGCGAGACGTGCTGCGTCCTGGAGGCCGTACCAGTAGTGCGTACTGCCTAGCAGCCTAGCACCCGGTCCATCGGATATGCTTCAGTCTGCATTTGCGTTGACAGTTTGCCTGCAAGCCTGTCTGCCGGCAGAGTTCTGAGTCCGCTTTACACCCTGATTCATCGGAATCGTGCGGCATGTTTCCGCAGCAAGCTAGGAGTCACATCACCTGCAAGCCTGCATTCACGAAAGATCTAGCTCCGTCTGTAGATTTGCAAGCCTGGACCAACTGCAGTGCCCGATGACAGTGTTGTCACCCTCGGAAACAATGAATCGGCTGTTGGTACTTGCCACACTGCTACACTTCTAGACTGTTTTGCCCTTTACTGCAATAAAGTGGATGGTGCATGTTCACAATCACGTCCTCACGTTGGTGTAGTACCTCATTGGTAGATGCTTCAGAGCTGCAGGGATTTGTGCGGAAATGTGAGAGATGGGACACCTGGCACATGCCGAGGAGCTTGTCGTGGATGATCACGGGCGCTTTCGTCGTGGTGGCGCAGAAGGCTACATTGCCCTGCGCGCAGCAGGCCTCCCTCTGCATGACCGTCATGGCGCCCACGGTGCCCGTCATGCAGGGGTCCTGAGACGGTGCCGTGGAGCCAATGCGGCAGAATGTAGGAAGGCAGAGGCCGCAGGCTCAATCTGGGGCCGGCACCATTTCGTCAGCTCCCGTCTGAAAGAAGTTGAAAGGCCTGGGAGCATCGGGACATGTCGAGACAGTGGCCGTGAGAACCTGCCTCTTTCAGCCACATGAGCCCCGAGGTCCTGACCAGAAGAGGTAGAGCAGAAGCCCTAGAATTAAGAAGAGCAGGAAGCAAAGGAGCACCGCACAGATGGAGCGGAACCTCTCAAGCCCGTAGAAATTATTCTTAAGCTCGCACAGTCTCGGAACAGCAGGGCAGGCTAAGGTGCAAGCCGGACACCTCAGTTGTGACAGATTCCACAGTCCCATGTGGTCGCTCCTCTTTGAACCTTTCTTTCGAGCTTTGGTGAACCCGAGGGGCCAGAGCTCACGGTCACCTTCTCCTTATCGAAATCGCCGCGGCTGGCAGGGAGCTTTTGGCTGTCGACACCGCCGCAGGGGCAGAATGGGAGCTAATTCCGCACAAAACATGGGCTGCTACATGTCGCTTGCACTTAGCCGACGATCACTCATAGACTTGCAATGCGTGAATGTGGGCCGGGACGGCCCATGGCCGACATAGTCCATTTGGGATGTCTGCCGATAAGTTCCCTGACCTGGCAGAGAAGGACGTGACATGGTGTCGGGACCTCGGCAGAGGGCCTAGGGCATCTGAGAGCGCATCCCACACTGCTACACTCGTGCGTACATTGCCGTGCTCTCAGCCGCGGCCTGAACCGACATAGGCCTCAGCCGACCAACCCAGAACAGCTGCAAGAGAGATACAGCCTGCTGCACCATGTGATCTGTGAATCAGTGTCACTCTTACAGCGACAGCTTCTTGTATCTCGTGGCGAGATGCCCAGCGCTCTTCCGT